CACGTCGACAGAGCTGCATTGTTGCGAACAAAATTCCCGCCAGATTGTCTCCAAAAAAAATAAATAAATAAAAATAAAAAGAATTCGATTTAAGACGTTCCATTTTGAAATTTATTAGCAAATAACCGGCTTTACGACGGTATATAACTTGCCAGTATCAAACAAATGATTAAAGAGTATCTGGGATTCGCTCTGGATCTTTTGGAGGGAAAAGTGTCGTTTTTATTTTGACTTTCAATTATTTTGTGAAATCTAGTTTAAAGTGGAATAGGATAGTGCTATTGTGCCTTAATCGAAGATGAAAACGCGAAATTATACGAATCTCGAACTAGAATACCCGTATCGGCCTGTTTTAAGGAATCCCGAGTCAATCCAACCACGCCGCCTCAAATTGCCTATCCTCTTTGTGGCGGCCATATTTACAGAAACATAATTAAACTTCATGTTTAGGCTGATGGCTTTGCCAAAGCCTTAATAAATTTAAAAAAATAATTAAAGAGTATCTAAGTTCTTTTGGCATGACCCTCGTAAATATTATATGTAAAGTCATAGGAGTTTAATTTCTAAGTTATGTAATTGTTAAGTACTTGTAGCAAAGCCTTTTGCTAATGGTGAAGAAAAACATCGTTATGGAACCCTTCGTAAATTTAAGAATGTGTTAACAACACATTCTTAAATGAATGACGTATTAAATAAATTGATACAATCGAAATTTTATACAAAAAGCGTCTGTGTTGGTGGAGTTCGTTAAAGTACTCGACTCTTTCAAGTCACAGAACAGAAAATACAGAATACAAAACATTTTTTTGTTTCAAGTCATTGACTTACAATTATATGGACGTCGGGTCGGCGCTAAAAAGTGTCCTGGTCCGAACTTATAGGGCGTTAAAATCGTATACAGAGCGTCATTCACGCTTTAGTCTTCGCGTTTGTTCGACTGACAGCGAAGCAAGCAAAATTAGACAGTACTGCGATGATATTACAATTTAAATTCAACTTTTTAGCTTTTTCATATTCCTTTACATGTTTACTACGTTTAAATAGGTTGACTTGGGACATTTTTTTCGTGGTTTTTGTATTAGACCCGTCGTCAATTTTTTTGTAAGTCAATGTTTCAAGTAGATAATATGAGCCGTTCAGACAAGTCCCATGTGTTTGTAATTTCAGTTATTTATTTATTATATGGACAACAAAACAGATAACAATCAAATTACATTGATACAAATTAAATATGATATAACAAAGTTCTGTACTACATTGTAACCCTACTTATGTTGACACATCATTCTAAAGTAACGAGAAAGAAGTACTGAAAAAAATAGCTGATAATTTACTTATTTACTGGGTTTACTATTTAGGAATGGGTGAAAATCTATACAAGTGCAAGTTGATTTAGTACCCGTTTAAATACTCTGGATATTGGGTCAAAAATGTCCAAATCGATGTTTTTCTTCAAAACCGGTACATAGTAATGCTGACATTACTGCTTGGCGGCAGAAACAAGTAAGGTGGCAGTACTTCCCTGGACGAACTCTATCACAAGGATATCTGTTGCTATTAATATTCTATATAAAAAAAAGTTTTAAGATACTAACGTAATTTCATTTCGTATACTTAGGTTATCAACTGCGTAAAACTACATGTTCTATGGCGAGAATGTCTCTGCCCGCTAGTCAGTTAAAACATTCCACAGTTGACAGAATCAGTTGATAATTAGTACGTTCAATACATGACGTATGTACATAAATAGTATTACATGTATGACATTATTGTAGTATCATTTAGCAAGCAAATGCCGCCAGCGTCGACGTCGGTGTTTCTCAGTCAATTATGGTACTTCATCTTATCAATATCTCTTCAACTTGATTTTTTGAGACTAAACGTTATTATTGTTATAAAGACATCCAGGATTTTTAATGTTAGTGTTTAGGTATTCGCAATTATGTAAATTGACGTCATATTTAGTAGTTTATAAAAAAATCTTTTAGGTGGAAATATTGAAATCGGTAAGTGTTTATTATTGTTGTATTATTCTTATTTAACTTGACAAATAATTACGTAAGCTGAGCTTTAAAATACAGACTTTTAGGTTCAAACTGTTAAACGTCAAAGTTGACACTAAAAATTAAAATTCAACTTTATGTGCTTTTACGATAAGATCGAGCCAAATCCAAAGTATCAAACTTTTAGGTAGTTTTGACAGCACTTACTGTCTTATAGTGCAGTGAGCTTAGAGGATGGAAAAGGTAGTGTGTTGTCGACCATATAAATACACGGAATTAGACCTGCCGTGTTTCCGATCCGACACGCGATTATTCCCACATGATCCCTAAAATTTGATACACCGTCAGTTTGAAATTGCAACTGATCCCCTCCACATTTTGCAACTCTCAACTCTCATTGTATTTGTAAGGTAAGTACAGTCAAAAGAAAAAGAAGTTTTGAAATGAAAGTTAATACAGTTATATGTACAAGTCAGTACAGTTAATGTTGTTCATTTCTAACAAACTAAATAAAATACAGTACAACCCTCAAATACATTTTCTTGACTGTACCACAGTACCTACCAAAAATAAACTTGTAAGTAGCAGAGTATCAGGTAGGAATAAAATATTAATATTTATTCTTGATCCCCTGTATTGGGGATCCGATGGGAATAGATAATAATTTAAAATAAAACAGATCTCCAGGGGATCGCTTTTATGGTATCAGATGGGAATCAGTCCACGCGCCCGACCCGCACCCGCTCTCTCTGTCCTTTAGAGTGAAATTTAAAAGCGTAAAAGTTGATATATCGTCGATATTGGCTGTTCTTGACAGTCGTTTTATACCTGGAACAAATTATCCAGGGTCCATTCGATCGAACCGCAAATGAGGATATTCTCATAAAAACATTTACGACATAATGTTTTGTATTTCATTGAACAGATTTAAGGTAAGGATCTACAACAAACTACGTACTGAATATAGTATTAATGATGAGGCTTAGTGGTCTGGTGGGCAGACTCTGCCTGCAAAGCCTTGGGTCGCGAGTTCACATCCCGGTTAATTAGTTTTTTTCTTTAGTCTTGTGTACAAATTTGTTTAACCTATGGTTTAACTATTCGGTTTTGGTTCAAACATTTGTTTATATTATATATTTAACCCTTTTGGCCCATATTATTATTATATTCGGTACTTGTTGTTTATAGAATGGTTTTTTTTCTGTATGTAATAACAGTTTGTATCGAAATAAAAAAAACTATTTAAACGGGTCACTACCACGGATTTTGGTCATCCAAGTACGCAGAAGCTGTATAGTATAAAGTTTTTATTTAAATATTTTTTTGACATTTTTCAATATGGCTGCCACACAAACTTTTTCGGCGGCAGATAAAAAATTGTTCTAATTCGACTGCAACTCAGCCTGTGGGGCTCTCTATGGCGTTTAATAACAATTGCATTCAAAATTTACTTTTTGCCATTTCTCAATATGGCCGCCATTAAAGAGCTATGTTAATTTTGTAAAAAAGTCATACGTGCCGAGGCCGTAGGCCGAGGTCTAGCGGAGGGCGTATACGGAGGCTCTATTATGAGTACAAGATCTCACAATTTTTCAAAATGTAAAGCATACTTCCTGATGTAGTGGAAATGAGATACTTATAGCGTTGTTGTATCTCGATCGTCTCTTTGTTAGATTCTTTTTTCTTGGAAGTTACGCCAAAGTGAAGTATGTAGGGAAAAAAATGCCAGACAATCACACCAAATTTCTAGACTCAAATTATGGAATTTCCTGTACTATGTGTATCAGAGTAACAATAACTCTGAGGGCAATACCCGGAATACTCTAATCAGAACAAACTTAAAAATGTTTGTTTGACAAATTGATTCAAATCGGGAATCGAATCTGGAAACTGGAACCTCTTCATCAAGCGCCCATAGTACTAGTCGCTAATGCTACCGAAGAGCATAAGCACAACCCGTAATCTGAACCTCAAAACGCGCCGTAGGCCGAACCCGACCTCACCTACAGCGAGGTATAAGGCTCGTATTTATTATAATTGTGGTTTTTCCTTTCTTTCATATTGTAATGTAATTTAATTTTAATCAGTTACTTTTAAATAATATTGTACGCCTTAACTGGTAGACTATAAATAGAGTACAAACCAATGTAATATTTTAAGACTATGTAATTGCCTAGGTATAATTATGAATTAAATGTATTTTTATTCTTATTCTTATCAACTGTAATATTATTATAGAAGCGTATACTTACATTGCCCCGTAAATTAATTTGTGAGTTTGTAAAGTCGCCTGTCAAGAACAACCAGTTTATTTTTATTCCTCGTATTAATGTCATGTTCATCACAATTTAAAAAGAATACTAATCTTGTATATTTAATTTTCACCTCACTAGCTCGGAAAGGCTTTCTTTCTTATTAGAAATCTACGCGCAAAAGCGTTTTTTCCGCGTTGAAAAGATTTTTGTCATTCGAACTTGACGATGGACTGTGGGTGTATCTTTCGATAAAAAAATAATAATGACATGTTCAATTATACAACGTAACTACAACATTATTTTATGTAATATAAATGTGTTGATATATTTTATTCTTATTGTTGTTGACATTAAATTGATAACGATAATTAATTTTGTTTATTAAATTATTTTCTTATAGTTCAACTGTTTTTCTTTCATCTACCATTTTCCTCGCTATATTGAGGTGAAAAGTTGTGTGTTTCGCTCGTCAGCAAAGTTGTTTTGCGTCTCGTGATTTGCTGGCATCAAATATCAACTTTGCAGCCTATTATAACAAATCACTATTTTCTTAAATGTACTCTGAAGCCAGTGTAAAAATGTTAATTTTTAAAAATTTCTCTCAAATACACTCTTGGGCCCAGATTGTAAATTGCCCTAACCGTACGTTAATGCCATGTCCGTTAGACCTTAACATATTGTTACCCTCTGTGTAATATGTATAAATGTACTTAATAGTAAATGTGTATTTGTCGCAGTGCTGCTGAAAATGGTACACAATACAATTCAGATTGTACTCGACAACGTTGGACGACACGTAACGGTAAGTTAAACCCGGCTTGTATGTGTATATTACACCGTGCCGCGGCCGGGCCGTGCTTCGGTCGTGCGCCGGCCGTGACACACGGTCAAATATCTCTAAATATGCTTTTGTATGACCTTCATGTTAGACCGGGCCGAGTCCGTGACACGGCCGAGGTACAGTCGGGACACGGCGTCGAGTATTATTCCCCGGTTTCAAGCCTGCCCGATCGCGACACGTAGGTAGTCAACGTTGACTATAGTGGTAGTGGACAGCGCAAGCTCTAAATGCCCTAATCATCTATTAAACCTTTGTAGAGCGTGGCAAATTCTCTTTCGGATTCTCGTTTTCTCCAGGCAGGATGTACACATTATATTCTTTTTCTAGTTTCAATTTGTGTCTGGAATCTTCATCATCAAGAGCTATTGCAATTAGCTGCCAACTCAAGGTGTGAAAATTGCATTAATGACACAACCTTGTCACTCAAGAGAAAAATGGTAAATAACAAAAAGACACAGTGGAAACGACATAGCACTGTGACATCCAGGAGCCGGCACGGTGTAGACCAAGCCAATCAATGTTTACCCTCATATTGTACATGTCCCACTATTGGGCACTTTTCCCTCAAGGAATGGAGATATCTACGGATACAGATTAATTATCGGTAACACGGTTGACCACGTACCACCGTGGTCAACCACAACAAATTGCTTTTGAATAAAATTTAGTAGAACAGATAATGTAAGTGGTAAGATATTGGAAAGAAGCATACATCTTTGCTCAAACAAAGCTAATGATTCAGCTGCTTCGTTAAATCACAGCAATAGTATGAAGTGGTTTTTATTTACGACATCAATTCATTGTACATGCTCAACCACAATCAAATTGCTTTTAAATCAAAACTAAATTGTTTCGTCGGACTAACCTAATAAGACCTAAAATAGTGTTTTGGTGTTGAAAACGTAAAGAACGAGACAAAACTTAAGGTTTATAATGAGAATGAAAGAGACATCAAAGTAAAGAATGCTTGCGTTTGTAGTGAGTGAACAGTTTCATACAAGAGTAGGTATGCTTGTAAACCTTTTTATTTGAGTTATACATTGATTCTTGTAAAGTTTATCATAGTTTTATCAGTGTCATTATATATTATTTTATAACCATGTCGACGATAGACGACCGTTGTTCTTATATGATTGTTAATGCCTTGGTAAGTTGTTTTGTTTTTAAGTAATTTCTGTAAGGTTACAAATGAACACTAGTTATTAGACATAATGAAATTTCAAAGATGGGGTTTACCGGACTCTCCTGCCATCCACACATCTCGTTGTTAGTTTTTATTAGGAATATTAACACCTTGCACCATATAATGGTAGTACCTACTAACATGTTTTAGGTATATAGGTAAGACGTATCTTGTCACTAAATACTTATAATTACTTTTAATGAATTTTTAAACGACAAATAAGTAAATAAAATGGATAGCTAACACGGTGACGATGTTTTGGATGGTAAAGATGAGGCCAAATGAGCGTAATTTTGTGAGTTGTGAGCAGTGTTGCCAGAGTTTTGCGAAGTTAAGTTGCGCCAAGTAGCCGATATTCGTCCAAGCCAGTGTTATCAATTAATTATTTAAAATCCATAAAAATCAAAGAAAGCAGAGTTGAAATTTCCCACATGTAGAAATACTCAAACCCCGAACGAGTCGTTTAAAATTGTTCCTATTCTCCATGTACAACTTCATTCCTCACAAAATCCCCACTCAAGTTTGTAATTCCCCCGACATTTTCTTAAGTAACCTAAAATCGCCTTTTCTTATTTAAAATATAGACGAGACCCATCGAAATAGCCTAATTGGCGAAAAATCGCCTAATCTGGCACCACTGGTTGTGAGTGGCGTTTTTGCGTTCGTAGTTTTCGTTACTTTACGCCAAATCAACGTATTTTATTCAGTTGCTTTTTTTAAGCGTTTTTATGGGCGTTTGTGTCATATAATTAAGGGTATTGTCTAAAGATGTGTTAAGTCGTTGCACGATAGGATATACTTTATCCGATCATATAAAATCCTGAAAATAGGCTAAAATAAAGTCAAATTAATTATTCAAGATTATAATATCTAATTTTGTATTTAATTCTGATATGGAGATATTTCTTTTTAAATACTACGTAGAACCTACTGAATTTTGGTTTCCAGCTGAAGCCCTATAGTTATCGAATTTGAATTTTAAATGTCTGTATTCAGATATAAAAAAATATAAGGCTATTACAAAAATGAACTTATTCTAAATTTGTAATAATACATGAGGTTAATTGTTACTTAGGCTGACTCACCTTTTCGCACATCTAAACATGATACATAAATGATATTTTATTGTGAGGATATTTAACTATTTATTTTTTTAGTGACGTGAATGTTACTTCTGTGTACTTCTTTTGTGTGAGCATTACCTATAATAAGAATCAGTCGAAATACATATTTGTATAATAACACATGAAACAATATGAATACTATGTGATCGTACAATTTAAATAACACTTACTGATATTTGCTGACGATGAGTTTCCGCACAGCCTATAGATTTTAAATTCACATTTGTACCAAAATTTGCAAAGTGCTCAGCGGGTTAGGCTCCATTTAGGTACATTGCGGCGAAATGGAATGGAAGCGTCAATTTCGCCTCGCTGCGCGAGATGGCGCCAGCGGTCTCTGGTATGCATCGGCATTCCCGAAAGTGCTCGGGCATTCCAGCGACTGTGCCTTGAGGCTATAGTATTTCGTTGACGTTTAACGTCACTGCGTCTGCCTTCGCGCTACCAGCAACTGCGGAATTCTCGCGAATGCGCGAGCATTCTGCGAGAATTCCGCGGAAGACGCGCGATGTGAATGTAAAAAAGTATTTTGAAGTTTTCACTTTCCATGCTCTTAAAGTACGCAATATAGCCTTACGTAGCAGGAGTCAAGTTCATCATTACCCCTAGGGTGCATAGTTTTTTAATTTACTTCGAGGGACCTAGATAAAGTCAAACAGCCAGTACTTGCTCTAGTTTGTGCCTAAAGGTAAAATTTCAATAAGTGAAACAATATAATTACAACTAAAACAAGACTTAACAATCATTCTTAAAAAGTAACTTCTTAAAATATAGGTGAAGTAGTAAATTAACCTAGTCTCATAGAAATCGCTGCGCTGCGAAACATTTTCATTACGAAAATGTAACGTTTTAAGACTACGCTTAGTTTTAGATCCGTGTCTTTTTCGCATAGACGGTGGCGCCATATTATGTTCCCGACCGCGTTAGTGCGATTGTGTATGGACCATTTTAGTGACGTAGCACTTAAGAGTGGTTACACATGGCGAATTTAAACAGCGATGCAAACGCGCGAATGCATCGATGCAATCGCCTATAAACCGCAAGTGTAGCGATGCAATCGCGCGTTTGTATCGATGTAGTCACGCGTTTGCATCGCTGCTTAAATTCGCCGTGTGTAACAACTCTTAATCTTCCTAAAGACACTCATGATCGCCGAAGGTCGTTAATCGTGGCGTATTGTTGCGTTTGTTGTATCTGTGTCTGGTTGGAAACGTTCAGAATTTTGGTTCGAGATTATGTTGTAGGTACAGCGTAAACGATTGAAATAAATATTTTTTTTCTCGCAATTGAAGTGAAAAGTAAACTTGTCACCTCAGGACTAAAAACCAATATAATCCCTCGGAGTAATAGACACTAGTAACAGTGGCTAACCACCTCGGTATATATTGGCTCATTTTACTCCCTCGATAAAAATATACTTTTATATGGCAACTATCAAACATGCATTGTAGATTCTGTCTGATCTTTGTGTAAATTACTTTGCAATGTCGGAGTTATTTACAATAGAGATTAGATGACGGATTATACCAGTTACTATATACATAACTATGTAAAGTTCGATAAGTAACATATTGATAATAAACTGTGTAAATATTTTCACGGAGAATCCACGAACAAGAGTAAGACTTAAAACCTTCAAGACTTTCTATGTTTGCATCATAAAAATTACAACCACAAATATCATTAATTACCTGTACAACATATAGAATTGTTACGTCATGGAATTAGTATTCATAAGTCTGTGTCAAATAGGTCTAGCAGTGTTTGCTAGACTCTTCTTTATGACTGCAAGATCAAAGCGGGAACGACAGACTCTCCCACAGACCATCAGAAACCAGCAAATCGAGAGTGGTACTAATTTGTTTTTCTAGACTCGTTTATATCTTCCTTGTTTATACATTTTGGAAAGCTTAACAGTATCTATAAGGAAACATGCAAACCATCGTCAATACGGGTTGAGTTGATCACCACTAGAAAGCTAGCTGTGTAATTTCGATAACTGAGAGCTTCCGGCGGTTACTGTCTCCAAGTAGAAGACAACCATCAGATGCCATAAATTCAATATCATTAGTTCAGTTTAGAGATTCTATCAAGGCTCTCTCGTAGACTGACCGTAGACTCTACGGAGTCTCGTAGAACGGTGTCTGCCTCAGTGCCTGCGTGCGGATTAAGTGTAGAGCGAACAGAGGGCGTTGACACTGTCTTAGAATGTAACGTAGTCTCGATGGGATAAAAAAGAGATTTGAGCCAATGCATGGAGGGATCTACTGAGATATATTCATATAAGATAATACTTGAGAAGCGTTTCTCTGTCAATACTTTCAACCAGTCTTGATCATAGATGGTTCGACCGTCTATGACATTTTTTACGCCATGTGTCGCGATTATCAGCGAGCGTTTTTTATTTATGATGGTAAACGAACTCATTATTATACAATGAGCAGACAACAAGCTTTCTATACCTTCTCATCGCACTGATTTTTTGTCTAATTCTTTTACCCTTCATGCAATTCGTCTTTGGAACGCGCTCCCGCTCCGTGTAAGACAAGCTCAGACCAAATTATCTTTCAAGCGCATGTTGCGCAAGCATCTGTTTGACAATTGTCAAAATTAAGACACTGTATAATGTTGCTTTGGGTACATATATCATATTATTTATTATTATAATATATATATGTAAGTTTATTATGTATGTATAATAAGTATGTTTATAGTATGTTATTTATTTATACCATACAAATTATCGATTAGTTTTCTAGTATATTGTTCTTCTTGTTTAAGTGTAGCACCAACCTATTGTTTTTTTTTTCTGTTTGGCCCAATGGTTGACTGGCAGAGAATGCTTTATGGCATTAAGTCCGCCATTTGTACTTCAGTGTATTGTACAATAAAGTTTAAATAAATAAATGAATAAACATGTAAATTTATTTATTTATTCAAGGAAAACAAACAGTTTCAACTATTTAATAAAAATAGGCCTTGAAACATGAAGCCAATTACAGGTTTCCACCTATAGTTTCAGACAAATCAAACTCGGGCATTAACAAAACAAACTATAAACATTATTTGTTAACAACATGCACTCACTTAAATATAACAACCCAATACCTGCGACACATATTATTCAATAAAATTAAATAGAACGTCGTCGGTGAATTTACGTATTAGCGCATCAACATTACAATTGAGTATGTCTATCAACATCCAGGTCATGATTACTCAGCACACTATCCAAGCTCTTGCTAGCTCAACACAGAAAAATGTTTTGACTATAATTGGTTCTCGCTAAGGGAACTGTAATAGGGTGATTGTGTCTCATAGAACCCGTAGGTACATTTAACGAAATATCACCCAATAGATAGATAATAAGAAAGTAAGTGATTGGAAAATGGTTTATCCCAGAATCCCGAAGAAGAGAGTCCAGAAAAGCAGAATGGCGACGAAGATGTTAGCCGCAAGGGCAACGTCACGTATGCCATCGACGACGTGCCGCCATGGTACCTCTGCATCTTCATGGCTTTACAGGTTAGATGTGAAATGGTTTTTATTACTAGAATGTTTCAGCGACTATCAATGACAGTACAGTAGGGGAGAGAGGGGCTGAACGTTCCCATTTTCAAAGAACTTGAAGTTTTATACTGAAAATTAAGGATTTGATTTTAAACATGAGGAAATATTGAACAAATGTTTTTCGCTTTTTGTAATACTATAGTCACTTCTACTAATATCTCAATAGTCTTTGTCATAAAGGCAAATTTTCGACAAATTTCGGAGCGGAAAGCTGGGCGCGTTGTTTCGCCTTTGAGGCAAATTGTTCCGTCTAGATTATGACAGGATAACAAAGAGTTTTTTAAATAAAAGAACCTTTTTATAATTGTATGTATGTAATGTTTATACTATGCATAACGAACTTAAAAAAAAACAACTACATCCTTATTCATCAGTAATTAATCATCGCTCATTTCTTCAGCTGAATCACAGTTGAGACACACATAAGTGACTCTATCGCCTTGTCTAAATATTTGACATGAGCCTGTTTGTAGTTTCCACAGACCAAGTGGTAGTTTCGCATCCTTAAAAAAAAGTAAAAAATTGTCATAAGAGTTTTAAGTATGACTGCAGGTCAATTGAGGAAGTTGTTCCTAAGAACAACCAGACCTTCGACAGAGGAACTTTTTTTGGTGTTTTACGAAGACTGACATACTGGCATAGTAATAAAAATAAATAAAATAAAATGAATCTTTCAGTAATACAATTACTTTAACATGAACAGTGAATGGTACCTCCTATTAAGCTTATCATCCCGTGTCAGGAGGCACAGCTCTTCCATAGCTATAAATGCATATTTAACATTTTTAACTTATACTTAATTTAGTGTTTAATTTTTACATTTCCAAACATCGTCAAAACAAACAATTAATAAAAAAACGAAAAAAAGTTACGTATGAGTCGTAATAAATAAAAACAGACCAAAAAATTTAAACAAGAACATATTTACTTACGTAATCTTTTGACAGTTCCACGCACATAGGCACACTTCCGTCGTCGAGTAACTGAAATTGCTGCCGGCAAGATGCACCATCTGACGCTTTAACGACGCGCTTCACATGTATTGCTATATATTTTCCTTGCAAAGTTATTGCTGTGAGAACAACTTACCCCAGGAACTACCAGTCCCGGTCTCAACTACCTAAATAGCATATTCTCGGCAACTGAATGACTGCATATAGCTCTTAAATATAATAAAATAATGATAGTTCTTAAATTTATATTACGTTCTTGGTCTACAGTTTATTCTGAATAAATGGCAGAAATGCTACTTTGAGATAGGAACACTACTAGTATTGCATCATATCACTAGAAAAATTCATATGAATAATAAATTCTCAGCGAAAAGTATCCATACTTGTAAAGACTACAGATAATTTTTATTGAGGTAACTAACCATTCAAAAATACTTATTACACATGTCGAAACTTTCATGGTTTAGAACAGAATCTTCAGACATTATTTGGGCTTTATAATGGGGAGTGTTCTGAGGAACTTTTCGCACTGGTTCCACCGTCTCGTTTCTACCATCGCACCTCCCACCAAAGGAGTAGAGTCCATCCCTACATCTTAGATGCCTGGCATTGTAAGACCACGCGGGCATCTCGTTCGTTCTTTCTTCGAACCTGCAAGATGTGGAATGATCTTCCTCCTCAAGGATTTCCTTTGCGCTATAACATGGGCTTCTTCAAAAAGCGTGTTTACATGGTTCTTAAAGGCTGGCAACGCATTGGCGGCTCATCTGATGTTGTAAATGTCCATGGGCGACGATGACCACCTCCCGTCAAGTGGCTCGTCTGCTCGTTTGCCTCCTTCGGCGTGGGGTGGCGCGCTTGCGTTACTCATTACTGTCTCCGACATACATTATCTATTTAGACTCTAAGAATGTACCACGGCGAGAGCTCTGAAGAATTATTCAACCTTATCCCTCCTACCGCTTTCACCGTTTGCAACTTGCCGTATTCCTAACTAACGTAAAAGACCGCCTTTCTCTGTCGTACAGTCGACAAATGCAACTGCCTTCCAGCGCATGAATGCCTTCCCTCTTATGATGTGGGGTCCTTCAAATGAGGCTTATATGCAGGCAGGACATTGCACTAAGTTCCTTTACCATCAGGGCGCCAATTCTGGTAACTTTTATAAAACCGCTGCTCATTGTAATTTTTTTTAATAATAATAACGCACGCACTAGGGAAGCCCTGTGTTGCGGGTGCCATGGACACACACACACACAGACAACTACAAATTACACCCAAACTCACGAGATAAATAAATGTAGGCCATACAAATGTTACTCCCGGCCCGGGAATCGCACCTGGGACCTCTGCGTGGCAGTTCCGACATGGTAACCGTTCGGCCACGGAGGCGAATGCCTCGTTCGTTCGTTCGTTGAGACGCCACTGAGATTTTAATACAATTATGACAATATTTGTTATTCAGCTAAAATCTACTTGCAATGGGAGATGAGTCTCAATAGAGTGCAAGTGGAATGGCAGTGATAGCATTAATTCATTCAATCACTAACGATATATAATGCATTACTGTAAATACCCTAAAAATTACTAAGCGTATTTTAATTTTTATCTGTTTTTTGCGGAAAATTAGTCTTCAATTTAAATGAATTTTTATGTGAAATAATTAGTAGACTACGTCATTGACTTGCCTTGAATGGTAGTTCCATGACACCCACTGACATACCCACTGACACGTCACAATTCTTAACTTTTAGCAGAAGACCAAACGTATAAAATCCTCTGCCATTGACTCTATCGACACATAACTGAGATGATTTAAAGTCCTTTAACATCAGGTGGAATGAAAGAGCCGAAATAGGGAGAGATGTCATCTATTGTGATTAAAAATATAACCTCTCTCTTTTTCAGCATTACCTGACGATGATTGGCGCCATAGTGGCGATCCCGTTCATTCTATGCCCCGCCTTGTGTATGCAGGAGACCGACCCTGATCGCTCCAACATCATATCCACCATGATATTTGTAACTGGTAAGTCTAACAATAATAAAAATGAAAGTAAATTACTGTACTCCGTGAACTCAGTGAAGTTTGAAGCGTGAAATGCGCTTGTGTAGAATATCTTTTTAATTTTTTGAAATATTTTTTATAATACCAAGTGACGGTATGAACAAGTCGTGCGCCTGTTGGTAAGCGACACGCCTATTCATAACAGTTGCAGCCACTCAGAGCTTTAAATCGCAAAGATCTTAGGGGCACTGCCACTGCGCCCGTCACCCTGAGACATAAGTTGACAAGCCCCATGTGACTGTAATTTCACCAACACCGGAAATCGGAATGCAATAATGCTCACACTACTGCTTGGCGGCAGAAATAGGCAAAATAGCAATACTTCCCTCTACGCTACTCTTTCATAAGGAGCCTGTAAGGCTATCAAAAATTATTATTGATTTATTAAAAATTTAAAGGGAATCTCCGGAGGACTAGCGGGAAAATTTGTTTTGCTTGTTCAAATGGTTTAGGTATTTACTATTTAATAACGGTCTAACAAAAAATATACCATACACCTAAGAATATTGTCTAAAGAATGTGGTAATTTGTTACATTATAGGATGTACTTTTTCCGATCATATAAAATCATGAACACAGGTCAAAATAAAAGTCCAAAACGAATTATTTCAAAATCAAATATCTAACTTGCATTACATTTTGTTTGTACATAATTTTTGTATGGAGATATTTCTCTTTAAGTACTTTAGAGAAACTGCTAAGTTTTAGTTTTCAACTGAAGCCCTGTGGTTATTAAATTCACATTTACCCTGAAACTTGAAAATTGCTCGGCGGTTTAACGACACGCCGCGCCGCCGCCGCCGCCTAGTCCCCTAGGCACTAGTCAACGTAGGATCTGTGTAAATTTTTTGTCCGCCTGTTCTTATTTTATTCATATTTATTTTATTTAAAGCACGTGGATTGCGAGACGCGAGTGGCGGTCCCCATAACCTCAAATCCTAAAATCCAGCCTCGTCTCCAAACACCGTCCTTGCCTTAAAGCATTTTATTTTTATTATGTCTGCCGACCCTAGTATTATGCTACGAAGACGATGAATCGCGTATCTCGAGATGTATCTCAAGCTGCCTTGCTACAAGCCTGGAATTGGCAACTTAGATGTTATCATGTCAAGTGACCAAAATTACGACTTAATAAGATCTTGAGCCGTTGCTCAAGTGCAACAGTACAATACAGTCTTAAGAAGTCTGCGGGGCTAAAAAGACCGTATTTCCGACAATTATTCATATTATGAATTTTCAAACAGAACAAAAAATGCAATCAACTATTTGACAGTGGCCTATGGAGACCTCTATAGAACACTGTCAAATGCAAGAATTGGGATTTTTGGTTTGTTTCAAAATTAATAATATGCATTGTTATTTAATCGTGTTATGATTCTGCCAATTCGGCCTTTTTAGGCCCCCTGTACTTTTAATATTTTTAAGTAAAAGTCAGTGCGTACTAAAAACACGCTACTAAATGTTTTATTTTTGTCCTTTGGTTTGTGCACGCTAATCTTCACAATGGCTGTAGTAATTTGGATGTGATTTTCGTGAAATGAACATTTCATGTTTGTTTTATTTGAATTAGTTGAAAAATTAAAAATAAATTTCAATTTTAAAGTGCACTTCCCGCGTGCTCGACGTTGCCAATCACAAGACGAAACAATATTCGTGCGCTGGCCAATTTTTTTGGATATACATATACGTCAAAATACTGCGCTACAAAAGTATTAGGCTCTATTTACTTTATGGAATTTTTGAAACCGTAGCATAATGACATTATGTCAATTGTACACAATTCAAACAAATAAAAAACGTACAAATTAGATACGATGTGGTATACATAGTATTTAATTTGTACGTACGTTCAGCGACACTATATACCTAGCTTATATAGCCACAATAACAATGTTATGTTAATGATAAAAATGAAGCGAAAATTATTTTACCCTGTGGAGCATTACACTAAAAAAAACCTACAGTGCGTATGCAATTCAACAATGCCCTCAAGGGGCTGCCTCGACACTGTAGTGCTTCAGGGATGTCCGCGGAGGCTAGGGTTGATAGTTTTCAGATAGTCGTTTGCAAGAGAGTGGCATCCCTGTTGGCCAGAGTGAGAGGCAGCACCAACAGTCTTCTTAATGTGGTAGCAGAGAGGATGGACAGCTCAATCCTCAAGTATTGGATGTCCATCCTTGTTCATGAAAATGAATACTTTGCATTCTACGAACATAGTTGTAAGTGCCTAATAATACTATATGGACATGGAACTATACCTAATTTCTGAAATAAATTCTGTCATTTCATTTCACTATCACAAAGTGTTTAGGTATTGTGGCAAATACGTACGGCATCGGCTGACACGGCTAGTGTAATAAGTAATAATTTTGACAACTTAAAAGATGCGTAGGTAAGCAATAAATAATATAATAAAACTTTGTTCTGTATTAGGACTCATTTAGATGGAGAGAGTTTCTCGTCTCGAACATACGATAGTCGTAGATTTCCACGACGTCGCATCGTGAAACGATGCTGCGTCGTAGCACGACGCGACGTCGTATCGTGTTTATGTGAAAGAGCCCCACGGTTTAAAAAAACGACCTGTTGAGTTACAAAAATAATTCCAAACCAAGATCATTAAGTCCATGTACGCTTTAAGTAAAATAAGTGTGGTTTTATTACTCTAATGTAATAGAAAGAATGAGCCGTTCCCAGACCTAACATTCATCAGTGCAAATAATATTTCTTATTACAGGCAGTTTTCGAGAATATCTGTAACATACATCTAATATAATATTATTTGCATTAATAAATCTTATATAGTCTTTGTATTTATTTTATAGCACTATTGTAAATGTAAATAATTTGACGCTTATTCGTTCTTACAACTCTAAGCTAAGATTACATTAATGCCAGTGTACCTATTATCTAGTTTATTAGTTTGTTTATCTTTATGTACGTTTATCACGGATAGTATGCAATAGAATTGCAAGAGTTAATTCCGCCTTCCCTTTTAAACTAGACGTAGGATGGGGTTCTACCCTTATGTTGTGGACATTCCCAGGACTCGCTGGAAGCGTTTAGCTGCCACATTTATGTGAAGAGCGGCGAGGGAGTAGAATTCCCTGCCTGCGGACTTATTCCCCGAACGCTATAACTGGATCTGTTCAAAGCGAGAGAGAATAGGCATTATTAAGGTGTGCATGCTACATCGTCGATCTCATCGTTACTTTCCATCAAGTGGAGGTCCAATGCGCACCTTTTTTTGAATATTAATAAATAACGTAAGCATCTGTATTAGGTAGACGGCGGTTTAAATTAAAATAAAAAAATACGTAAGACTTGCAAGACGACTTGTATTCGGAATGGTTTTTTCCGTGAGGAATCCCAAATACATAAGCCACCATACGGAATTTCAAATCGGAAAAACTTTCGGAAAAACGGAATACTACTGTATGTGTACACTACCAGACACAGAGAAATACTTTTCAGTCAAATTTAGTGGATACACCACGTACGTGCTCCATCGTTCTCTATGTCTGATTGACTCTGATTGGATTATCACAAATAGCATTGAAATGAACAGCAGTTTTATCAGAAAAAACTGTTAAATCCATTGACCTACCAATAAACCAATCAATACAACCATACTACAGAGCACGTAGTACGTACAATTATTATTAATATTCCCATACAAGACGAATACTTTATATACGTGTAAATGTCGTTCACAACATAGCTTAGAAAGATGGTTCACAAAAATCACAAATTCACAATGCCGATAAAACCGCGAAAAGATGACTTTGACGTCTTTGGCATTTTTTTTATATAATTTATTTCTGGCCATGGAAACAAAGTCCTTCAGCCGAAAACATAAAAATAAGTTTTTCTGTAAATATGGCCGCCACAAAGAGGATAGGCAATTTGAGGCGGCGTGCTTGGATTGACTCGGGATTCCTTAAAACGGGCCGATACGGGGATTTTAGTTCGAGATTCGTATAATTTCGCGTTTTAATCTTCGATTAAGGCACAATAGCACTATCCTATTCCACTTTAAACTAGATTTCACAAAATAATTGAAAGTCAAAATAAAAACGACACTTTTCCCTACAAAAAGTCCAGAGCGAATCCGTCTTTGACAATACCATGCAGTGTTACCACCTACAAATGTGCTTCTACTGCATTGGATAAGAGAATTTCATACCCTTAGAGGTTTATTTTGGGCACGTTCCGTTTTACACACACACGTCACCATTGAGTTCAATATCATACAAATCTATGCACGTCACATGGGTGTAATTGCATGGAAAAAAAAGTATTTTGTTGAAATGATTATTATTATATTATTTGATTACAACGAAAGTATTTGAAATACCAATTACAAAATATGTACATTTTTTAATAAGTATTTCAATTACAAGTAATTCAAATACGGCTCAACCCCGCGAGTAGCCTACTGTATACTATATTATCATAGTTTTATTGGTTCTCCATACAAACTTTCATCCCCTGTAAGACTTATTTTTATGACAAAAAGTAGCCTCCTTCTCCTTGATCCCATCTACCTCTATACCAAAAAAGAATAGTCCGTACGTTTGGGAGTTTCGATGCGACAGATATACATATAGACAGACAGAGGCTACAAACTTATAAATCCTCTCTTTTTGCGTCGGTGGTCAAAAAGCAAAAAAAAGCACAATTTAATTTACATTACACAATACAATACAAACAGAAAGCAATACAAAGTGTTCACAGTAATTTAGACAGTACGCAAAATTGCACGAAAAATTTAGTCAGGCGCTCACAAATAAGTTATACTTCCGAACATGTAATAAAGCGAACATGTGGAAAAAAATGGTGATATTTTCGATAAAAAAAAATCAAATAGCATAAAAAAAGAATTCTTTTGGAGGTGCTGGGATTTGAACCCAGGACTTTCAGCATGCGAAGCAGACACTCTACCACTGAGTTACACCCCCCGATGGCATTAATAGCGAAATTAGAGGTTAATAAACGTGTTACAGTCCTTTTACTAGATTGACAACTTTTATTGTCGAAGGCAAGTTGTATATTAGTTCTACCATTTTAATATGCACATAGTTATCTTTGCTTTGAGATTTGAGATTGGAACTTTTGTTATGTTTATAGTGATTATAATATTGATAACCAAATTGTAAATTACTCTAAAGCTATGCTGGGATTGTTTTTGCTTAGTTATTAGACGTAGGACCATAGATATTTTTCTCACCAATTTGGCCATGTAAATATAAAAAAATTCATTCAGAAACGGCACTGCCATTTACCTACCTACTTACATTTAACAGTAACTTCGCGTTGACGTTCAGCTACAGCAGTAGGCAGAGACTACGGACGTCTTTTGCTACCTCTATTGGCGGCAGCCTTTTCATACACGTTTATTATTCGTATTGTATTTTCAACCGACTTCAAAAAAAGAAGGTGGTTCTCAATTCGACTGTAGTTTTTGTGTAAATGTTACGCAATTGCGTAACATACACACAATAAAAAAAAATAAAAAATTAATAGTAATTACTCCGGCATTTATGAACCGTTTTTGATGATTCTTTTTTTGTTAAAAAGAGGGTACCTCAATACTGGTCCCATTTAAATTTGAATAAAATATTTCACCTCTAAGGGTGACAAACTAGGGATGAATCCGGTTTCGTGTACTATCCGGTAATTCCACGAACTTTTGAGGTCGGGTTTTTTCAGTCTTAAAAAATTTCCAGGTCTCATAACCTGGTTGCAAGCAACCTTCGGGTGCCGTCTTCCCATTGTGCAAGGCGGCACGATCTCCTTTCTGGTGCCGACTCTGGCCATCCTCGGCCTGCCCGCATGGAAGTGTCCGCCTGCTGACGCGCTAGCAGCCATGACAGAAGATCAGCGCCGTTTCGTGTGGACCTCGAGGATGTGTGAGCTATCTGGAGCTATTGCTGTCTCTGCGCTTTTTCAATTGTTTTTGGGTAGGTAGATCTATAGTCAGAAATATCTGAACATTTGGTAAAATCAACATCGTCCGAATTAATTCAAGCGGCGTTGTCAATTGTTTTGAGAAGAATTTAGAAATTCCTTATGAAATATTTATTCTAGCCTTAAAGTGAGTTATTGAACTGCCTCTGTGACCAAACGGTTACCATTGGACTGCCACTTTTATTGTATTTATCTATTTAATTCAGGTCACATGACTCATGTAATACTATACCAGGACTAACATATACATACTATATAATAAAACACTATTTATAACTAATCTACACGAACCTGTCGGGGACGTGTTTAGCTCAATCAGTAAGCGGCCGCGGAATCGCCGATGTATAATTCCCTTCGGCCACAATTTTCCTTCATGAAAGTCGATAGATGTTCGGTTGGCACTATCACCACAAACGAATTAAATTAATGTTGTGGCGGGACTACAACCGCTCGACCCTCAAGTTGCAAAGATGCAAAGTGCAGAGAAGCAATGCAAAGAATGCAAAGAAGATATCCATAATATTAACCTTAGAGCTAAGTCCAAACTTATGGTACCACGATTTCGTTTAACCAAGGTAAACAACTCTTTTATGGGGAACTGTATACGTTTTTACGAATTAAAAATAAAAACTACGGTTGTGTGACATGCGTGAGAACAGTTTTTATTTGCCGCCATTTCGCCAGCCGTAACATACGGTTCCCGTACACATCATAGAGAGCTTATAATACGTGTATAGATAAAGCAGTGTATGTAACTGTACATAATTAGGCATTAAAACACTCGTGTGATGTTTTTATGAAACGAGCCGACAGATAAACCTCGTATTTTAATGCCTTTCATTACGTTACAGTCACATAAACTACTATTAAATTGTTTTTTCTACTACTCTACTTTAAATCTGTTCAATTATAATTTCATTAACCATATCACGAGGGCGCTCTTTTTAGTGTTCTAAATCAAAATTCTATTGTCTATGGTGCACAGAACAATAGTGAGTTTCAAAAAAAGAACGTCGTATTTTTGCTAATTAAAATATCAATTATACGCTATACTGCCTTCTGATTGGTTAAATTGGCCTAAGAGTATTGCAACCGGTCCATAAATCATTAGTCAGAAAAATGATTGGTTAAATATAAGTGGTAACAGTAACCACTTCTGTTCTATCTCTTGGTTTTTGTTTTGTAGCGTTTGTTTGTTTGGTTTTTGTCTAAATATATGAAGAGGCTGTATGGTGGAACCTTTGCCTATCCTAATAAAAAGGTTAAAATTTATTTTCAAAAATTGCGTTTGTTGTCATGGATTGTTAACAGAATATACATTCAATTTCATTATTTTATTTACTCGCAGAGAAAGCATTGTATGCAATCATTACATAATTAGGTCTTAAAATGTCCTATCTATACTTAGGCCACTCGGTAAAGCCTCATGGCCTAAATACTGTATTTGTAAAAGCGTTGCGACATGATTAGTCTATTAATATTACTGATACAAAGAATGAACACAAAGAAAAATTCTTCGATCTGACTGGACTCGAACAGTGAAACAAAACAAAGACCTGTAACAAGCACATAAACAAATTCGCAAGACCTGCTTGCAGTCTCGATCTGTAGCTAAGCTGGTTCAGAGACACTGGATCGAGTCCAATAAGATCGAAGGAATTTTTCTTTGTGTTCACTCTTTGTATCAATGCATCAATAATAGTAACAAACTAGTGGAGTACATATATTCACAAAAAAATTATGTAAAAGTTATAGCAATTTAAACTTTTTTTATGATACTTTTAACAATAAGATAATAGATGTGTAGTAGTCTCTACCACCCTGTACTCCCCGTACAGGGTGGTAGAGATTCGCTCGGCTAGCTGGTGCCCCCTTACTACGTCCAGGAATCAAACGACGAAATTTGGTGAAGAGTTGGTTTATTGTACAACAGCTTACAATCTGGTTTACAATACAAGGGTGTCCAATAAAAGAGAGAGATTCGTACCGTTGGATGCAAGCGCAGCGCAGACTCGGCAAGTCCCGGTGGGTGCGAATATTACAAAAAAAACTCACTCAGAGGAGTACTCGTAACCTGTCCCGAAAGATGGGCGCGAGTTCAAGATGCTTCCGCTTAGTGAGGATAACCATAGATGCGCAATCGTTGAATCGATCAATTTCATACAAAATACTGGCGACAGGTTACTTTAAGGAAAATCTTAACACCGCGATTCAGAAATTGCGTTTTCTACGCCAATGCCATCTAGCGGTGAACATTGGAACTGTTTTCACTAATATTGCCAATGATATTGTGTTAGAGATGCTATTTTTAAAATAATTAGTACATTATTGTACAGGCCGGGAAGTAAGGGATTGCTGGACGAGTATGACTTACAAGGACGAGTGCCAGCGAGGCCTTGTATCACTCAATACGAGTCCATTCCCGCCGAGGCATGTATAGATTTTTTCTCAAACAATGCGAGGAAATAATAAAAGATAAAGAGAGGAAGATGTATAATAAAAAAAGTAAAAAAATATGAATTAACATTAAAATTTATACAATACTACAATTGTTAAAAAAAAAAGTTATTGTTTTTCCAGGCACATTAATAGTAGTCTGCTGAACTTCTGATGACGTGTTTGAATGTATATCTAATCTATTATTGTATTTTCGCTATCGCTCTTCTCACTACCAATCATATTCGCGGCCAAATTACAAAAAATACGAAAAAACGAAAGAATAACAAAACACTTTTTTTTAAGTAAGCGGTACAGGTAGATATTTTTTAATCTCGCAGTTATGAACACCGGGCAGTTGGCTATATGAGGTTTTTTTGCCTATTTACGTAGTTCATTATTAGTAAGTACATTCAAAAGTTTAGAGAAGAGGACAGTAATGGATTTTTATACATACTTTGCAGGCCTTGGCCGGGAAGAATTCACATGGTCCATAAATGACAAACTTTCCGTGTTCGTTTTTTGAAAGTGATGCAAACATTTTCGAACATGTTCGACAAAAAATAATTTACACGCGTCCTGCCTTGAAGAAAAAACATTATGGTCATGTTAGTAATAAATAACACAAGTAGTGTAACTCCATACACACGTAACAACGTAGATTGGCAGGTGTATGTGTGAACGTCTGCCGCGCCGTAGGTGCGGACGCGTACTTTCACATTAATCTCGCGTGGAACTGGAATGGCATAGTCCGCAGAACAATTATTTTCACTGTTAATATTTAGTTATCCATATATTTATACTTACGATATCGTATTTGTCTTACAGGTTACTTTGGTGTAGTAGGCTCTGTGCTGCGCTTTGTGACACCGCTGACTATTGTGCCAACGGTGTCTTTGGTAGGCCTAACGCTCTTCGATCACGCCGCCGAGGCCGCGGCGCAGCAGTGGGGCATTGCAGCCGGGTAAATAATAGTAATAATAATAATTGTTTATTTTAGTCATTTCAATACAATTCATATTTTTTTAAATTAATAACTTAAAAACAAATGTGACACATAAAAAATAAATCAAATTAAAATAATAATAATAATAATAAAATAAAATAAAAATAACGTTAATTCAAGTCTAACTCACGTAGTCAGGCGAGTAAACAACTCTCTAATTAAGCCATTGCTACTCCGTCGAAGCTTTTCCACAAAATAAGCTATAGGTACACGCCAGAAGCGCTACAGTGCCGCTCCATCTGGGGCCTCAGTATCGACACAAAAGTATCGATACTGTATTCATGAGTAGTATCGGATAAAAAGTATCGTTGTCCTAAAAGTATCGATACCTCCACGTATCGATACTTTTGTTCTGCAGATTTTTTTTACACGTGACGGACTCTGAGAAACGATTACGAAACGAAGTCAGAAAATGTGAATTGAAGTGTTTCTAATTATATTTTTCTTCGTTCTCACTCTTCTATAGAGGCAAATGGTGGCATACATTAGGTACATAGCCTTTGTGATGAAGGTTTGCCATTAAAAAGAAGTCGCTAGGTGGCTTGCGCTATGATATGAGGTGTTCTAAGTAGGAATTATTCGAAAGGGTACGATGCGATACTTGTCAAAAAGTGCTTAATACCAGAAAAGTATCGAATGAAAAATATCGGTACCAAAAGGAAAAGTAGTCGATATCAAAAAGTATCGATACTTGTCCGTGTCCCTGGGCCCATCAAATGTCGGAATGGTTCATTGTACTGAACACGTAAGGCATCGCTTTTTAAATTTTTCTTGTCAAGATTTTCCTATTAGTATATACGTCTGGGCACCCTGGGCAAAGATCGGCGAGTGTCGTACGCCGATTAGCAAAACCTTTCACCACGATGGTATGCTCTGTAGTCTATGCCATATCGGTACGATAAGAAGACTGTATATAAGATGTAGAGTATGTTCCAATCCATTTTCAACAAAAAGTAAACAAAACTGTTTGGTTAAAATCTAAAGCAATCACTCAATAAATCCAATAAGTAACACTTTAACGTGTATTTCGACTTGATATCTCATCACTTCCCTTAAATCCAACAATATTCATTTGAATAACATCGTAAAATCATATTTGAAAAATGGTAGTCCAAAAGCGAAGTTATGTTTCAACTGTACATCTATGACTTGTCTATGGTTGCATAGTGCTGTACGAAAAAAAACACTCAGTTCATTCAATTAAAGTTTTGGTAGTCGATTAGTAAATCGAATATTTTAATCGCAATCGCACGAGTATCTAAGTTTAAGGATTTGAAGGAGGACTTAAATATTTCGGAAATTTTAAATATCCTTATAGGTTATGTAGGGGAAACCGCTAGTACGACTCAATTGAACAAATCGATTCATTCAATTAATTAATCGATTTGTAGTTGGCATTACAATTGTTTATTGATGAAACCGTCTATGGTTGGGTCAGTGATTTGTTTGTTTACATTTTGTTGAAAATGGATTGAAATGAAGTATACATTCATCTTTAAACTGATTTACGTAGGTGAATACCCAGTTATGTAATAATCCGCAATAGATCCACAACAGATTCATATTGTACATTTACTTCCGAATGAACTGAAACATCCCCAGTGTAGCCCCTTGAAGCCATCCCCGAATTTCACATGTGATTTCTGTGGCCGAAGCATGCCATGCAATGTATGATAAACCCTTGATAAATTTCCCCGTGACATATTTCAGTTGATAAAGCTATGGTTGCCATCATTAATTTTTTTTTATTGTGAATACTGAATCGGTATGATCCGCACTAGATTCATTCGTTCTTTCGTTTATGTAGTAATCAACTATTGTTATACATTTTGAAGACAAGGATAACGAATGAAATTGCGTATATGTATTGGCGTACACATATTGTATTGTCCTTAATCATCGCCGCGAAAGCGATGAAACAAAAATTGCCGGGTTTTTGTAGTTTCAGTTTTTACATATTCTACATTATATTCGTTATTGTTTACGTATTTCTAATTACTCTCTAATTGGAACTGTATTAAAATTGTTCTCCTCACCTTTTTTCAATAATTTATATGTGCCAATTTGTTAGTTTTTATTATTTCTTTTTATCTCGTTTGTCGCACTCAATTTTTACGTTGTTAAAATTACACTGCAAAACTGCAAAATATTTTAAAGTCAGCTGTAACTTGGCCTTGTTTGGCACCGCGATATTCTTTTGCAACCATTGGTTGCGGCGCTTGCCATGTGACAAAAATATGACGTCACGGCGCTCGCCATGTTAGCTATTGTGATAAAATTTTAAAATGCCGGTTTTTCATCCGAATTTGACAGCTAAATGTGGATATAATAGCTTCTCGCGGTGGCATACTACGGGGACTAGTCATACTGATTTAAACATTTATCTGTTTGCATCAATAATATAACTGTATAATGTAGTATGTCTCTTACGCCATCTGTACATATACATGTACATATATAAAACAAAAGCTACGTCGATAAATCTGCCACAAATTCGTGTAAATCGATAGGACGAAGTAATTATACACGATGAGATTTGTTTTCCATGTAGCGCATCTACTGATTCGGTGAAGTGGCCCAGTTAATGAGGAAATCGGTTTTCTGACAGCGCTACTCGGCTCCATTATTAGGCCTAGTTAAACAAGCTTTGGTTAATCTTGTAGATTCCTTCTTTGTGAGATGATTGAAAAGCATTTGTAAAGTTCAGTGCAAAGGGAATAACTCAAAATCGACTTTTCAGGAAAGGAACCATACTTTTATTTATTGTTGGCTGTTCGCGTTTATTATTAGTAGTTTCTTTCTTTCGTGACGTTTCCTTGTTTACGAGAGCTTAATGGTATAACTCGACTCAGGTTACCAAATTTTAAGACTTAAACAACTCATTCCCTCAGTTGCGATTGTTCTATGGTTATAACAAAACTTATGATACTCATCTTTATCTTCTTCAATATATCTTTAAAGATATAAAACGACAAGGGTCCATATGATTATGAATACAAAAATTGAACACACAGTACCATTTTCGTCGAGCGGGTGGGACTTGAAATCACGTCCAAGCTGCATCGTAGCATTGCTCTAACTATCTGAGCCACGGGTCAAGTTACCGAGTCGGCGAAATTCTCCGGTAAGTGGACCCGTGGCTCAGAATGGTTACACTAGGTTTTGTTATCCAAATACATAGAAGTTTGTATTTTTAGTATAACTTTTTGTTTCACTATACTTTGAAACCACACAAATGGCTAATTTTAAATATGAACCGCAGTTTTATTATAGAAGAGTAATTGTCTCTTGAATGTATTTATGCCCGTGTGAAGACGACTGTCAAGAACAGTCGTTTAACTTTATTCCTTGTTTTTTTTTCTTCAAAAATTATATATATACACAAGACTATTACCCATCAAACTGTAAACAGTTTATTGGCGAGCATGCTTCTTTCTTACACAAATATAGATCTACTTAATAATTAACTGGGTACCTAGCAGTGAGAAGGTAATTCTCGTGTAGTTCAGACTTAGCAACAAAATAATTTTACAAGCATTTCTTTTTAAACTGAATTTCGTGCAATAGCGTCTTTTTTAATATAACTTTTATAATTTGCTTTTTTTTACTATTTAGCTTCCGCCCATCGCAATTCGTCGCATTAGGTTGTAGGTACGAACTTATTTTCACGTGCCCTTCTGGTCCTATATTTATTGGAAACTGGTATTTTAAATTCATAACTAAAATAATTATTTAATGCAATTTGGTATTTCGACTTCAAGTGGATTGGCAGTATTTTAAAAAATTATGTAATTTATTATAATCACCTTTACATTGACGTTTTATTTTATTGTTTACTAAATATTTAATTAATTGTTTCTGGGCTCCGAGTCTTAACTTTGTCCAGCTAAGTATTCAAAGTATTACCGTAAACATTTGCATCATAATTTATTAAAGAATTTGCTATAGTTTTGTGCACTATCAGCCGTGTTCGCTTATTTGATACGTTCTTAATTGTTAGCGCCATCTACCAACACCAGCCCTACACCTATTGCAGGCTCTTAAACAGTATAGTTAAATCCCTCACCCTGCCACTAGATGGCGTAGCTTTGCAAATAACGTCGATTACGACTAGCTTTCGTTGTTTATGATTGTCATTAAATTAAACGAATATAGCAAATATAATCATTGTAAAATAGTAACACTGTTTCGATTAGAGAAAGGGTTGATTTGATTTTCTATAGGTTTATGGTTTATGAGGTGCCCTGTCTTTAGTCGAGTAATATTTTCTGTTTGCGTTTTTTCAAATAAAAACCATTACGTTCTACGTCCGATTCTTCACTTCCGCCACTCCTATAATACTATACCTAATAGAACTTTCCTAAAACGGTCCTAAGGTTTTTGAAAAGTTAATCAACACGCAGTTTCCAGCTGAAATTAGAACCTATCAAACCATCTCTAGAGTATTCACGCAGTCGAATCATATTAGATGCAGTCGAATCATATTAGATGCAGTCGAATCATATTCGAATTTTTTATATAGGTACCAGACAACTTCACAATTGCCTGGTTTCATACTTGGGAATTTTCTGTACTACACAGCAATGGAATTCACTCTGGGGCACATCATAGTACACCCAGAGCAGAATAAATTAGAAAAGGTAATAATAATAATAATAATAATAACACACACACTCAACATAGCCCCGCACTAGGGAAACCCTGTGACGCGGGTGCCATGGACACACATATAGACAACCACAAATTACACCCAAACTCACGAGAGAAACAAATATTTCTATATAGGTCATACAAATATTTCTCCCGGCCCGGGAATCGAACCTGGGACCTCTGCGTGGCAGTCCGACATGGTAACCGTTCGGCCACAGAGGCAGTTCGGTAGTAGAAGGTGCTTTTCCGCAAATTGATTCTACCAGAAATTGAACCCGGATCTCAGCATCCAGCGCTCACATTGCAAA